TGCGTGCACAGTTTGGATTTCAGGTGGTTGGAAATTTTAAGCTAAGTCATATGCTAGTTGATAATCATACGTAAAGGATTTCTGCTTCTAGTATGCTTCTGTCGATAAACCGAAATCATTCACATAAACAAATCTGAAAAGTTAATTAATTATGGAGTTCTTTCTTTCATTTATAATCAGCTTGTAGTTAGGAATATGATGGGATGAAAACTATAGGGCGCCAAAATAAGAACTGGAAAACATGAGACTGATTAGTATTTAATAGTCAGTCAACGTAAATATCTCAGTCCCAACTGGAAGTTAAACACAGACCATACAATTCAATGGTGACATATTTGATCATGAAACTTAATAATATGAGTTTAAATAACACAAAGAATGTCAGTGGTATCAAGATTACATACGTACTTTATTGATGAGTACCAATGAAAAAAGAAGCTAAGTCAAACAGGGATTTATTTAGATCTCATCCCTCTATATAACACTCACCGTTGATTTGATTAATATGAAGGTTTAGATCTGTGTTGTAGCTTACTTCAAAATAATTTTTTTGACACTAATCGGAAGTCATAACTGGTGGAATTCAGACAATTCAGTGGTGAAAGTTATCATCAAGATCAGCGAATGAATGAGCCATAGTTTGAGTCAATCAAAGTTGGTAAAATGTACATTTGAACGCCAACCATGTAGTCCATTGGTTTTGGCGCCATAGAGAGAATTGAAGTTCTCAAGTCCAATCTGTTATGGTGTCGGGAATACGTGCTATTAAGGAACCTCGTACTAAAACAAAACAACTATGAAGAGCTCTATATTTTCCGACGGTACCTTGATTGATGTCAGTTTGCGACGTAATAAACCTACATATATCCTTACATTTATCTTTTCATTGAACTAGATTATATTTTCTCTTATGCTCTTCACATATCAATTTATTTTCTTGTTGTAATACACATTCATATCGGATCCTACACAGGTTACGACTAGTTAACTCATGACCATTGATAATTAAATTATTATTATTTCAATACATTTCAAATATTTTTAATTTTATTAAAATTGGATGAAATACTAAGTAGCATCTGTGTGTTCAAGATTAATATCTGTCGTTCTAAAGTATGATGATGGATATTATCTTCCATAACACTATTTAGAAGAAAATATGCCCAATTATCTAATAATAAAACAAATATTGTATACAGTTTGTGAAGTACAGTCTTGTATGAAATTAATCGACAAAAGAAGCTAATGTGATATAATTTAATTGTAAAATGTAACCCTATTCATATACTAAATATTCTCATTAAATATACAAAATGACCAAAGAAATATTGCTTTTTGATTAGTTCAACATTCATATATATATTGCGGTTAAGAGTCAATTCAGTCACAAAATGAATGTTGGTTGGTCAATTTAACAATGTTTTCTCTGAGATAGTAATCGATTAAAAGCTCAACAGATGTGAAATCAGACCTAAAGATTATATAATCGCTTAGTTATAAATTCGTTTCATAAGAATAAGAATTCAGTAAGTTTGAAGTGAAGCATTTGGACATAAATGTTTAGTTTAATTAATAAAATAGGTCCAAAGAAAATTAGGCAATCAGAGTATTAAAAGCAGATAGATCACGTTAAGTTCTCAATAAATATTGAAATGACACTAAACACTTGTCGAACTGCTTCACTTCAAACTTACTTTATTCTTATTCTTATACAACGAATTTATAACTAACCGATTATATAATCTTTAGGTCTGATGTCACATCTTTTGAGCTTTTAGTTGATTAATGTTTCAGAGAAAACATTGTTAAATTGGACAACCAGAATTTTGTGATCAATTTAAAAATTTCTATTAAGTAAAAAAGACAAATTTTTCCATGAGATTTACATCCATTAAAACTTTTTCACTACAGGTACTTAAGAAAACATTTCCCATGGATCTGTGGTTCAATAGAGACTTTGTGTCATGGCTAATGGAAAGTCGAACATTTCGACATCTGATAAAGACAGCTTATTCGGTTAAATTCCGATTAATACTCTTCACATAGCCATTGCTTCAAATATAAAAAAGGATGAAATACAAAGTCTGACAGCTTCTATATGTATCTCCCAGTCTATCTGATGCTTTTGAGCAAGATTAATTCACCGAACTCAGTGTTTCTCGAATGAAGAGCCGATCATATACTGATGTGGTTGCGCAGAGAAAAAACACCATGTGCCCCCGACACGGATCGTAATCGTTTCTTGGTTTCACACTGATTCATTGTGTACTTTTGGCATTACTTACACGAAACGATCAGGATCTATAAAGTGTGGGCGTAAAACAGCTTTAAACTGTGAAGTTCATAGTAATTCACATTTTCAATCCTAATTTGTGTATCCAATACCTTAATTTGCAAAGGATACAATAAAGGTGAACACTGAAAATCTTATCAACTATTCACGATCCTGGAACTGTTTTGCTGCTTTTTGTTCTTTTCGCACCAGACTCTCCCAATGACAATTTGATTCACTAGTAACAATAACATTTGAATATGACTGTATATATTTGAGTACATCATTTTAATAGATCGATATTTTTTAAAATTAGTAGAACATCCTTTTACCGTTACATGATTTGCATTTATTTTATATTGATCCTTATTAATCCTCTCGTCCTTAGTGAAAATTATGATTTCTTTAAATCGATTTAAGTGGAAAAACGGTCATTTTCATTTAATCTGGCATATGATGCCACTATTATAAAACTGTGCTATACTGAAGTAAAAATTCTTATGATCGATCTATACCGTATACCATATTCTCCAACTATGGATTTGTAGCTTTTCAAGTGGATCCATAGAATGACCAAGTGCAATTTGAATATAAATTTACCACTGTTCCATCAAACCCTGGGTCCGGAATGATACCTGTCGATTTGGTCGTTGTTAATGTGCAGTCAGACTAGGTCTCATTAAATTCAAAACTTGAACGCTACTAATTCATCTTCTTTAACTCTGCATACACTCCAACAAGTTTGAAACAGGGTCCAACCAACGGGTTTTAACAACAACCAATATACATCTAGCAGTCATGTATCAAATAAATTTTGTTCCAAGCAACAAAATCCAATATTTGGGCGGGTAGTCTAAAACAAAGGACAGACATTCAGGTAACCAACAGGGTCTTTTCGGTCGTACAAGCTATTATTGCATTTCTAACTCTCAACAAAGTTATTAGTGAAACGCTATACAGTGTTTCTCCTCTTTTCAAATTCAGATTCTGAATAGATCATATTGAAGCGAATATCAACGGTTTTCATACATACAAGACTCCCAGCCCTTTTCGGCTCTGTAAAGCACTTAAATATTATCTAACGATTTGTAAGTCAAGAAACCTATACCTGTGTAAATATTATTACAACTAACGATTAGAGTTTAAAGCTAGCCTGAATCTCAAGGAAAGCATAATTAAGAATCTGGTTGCATTTTCATTGAGCAAAGAAAATGGTCTGTAAGTTAGATCGTAATTTTAAGAAATTCCCTACTTACAAACGTAGTTTTATTTTATCCTTTAAAACTGATATGATGGGATGAAAAAGACAAGATTAATGCCTTTTACTCATTGTTATTTCTATTCAAAATTACTTCCGTATATTTAATTCAATGTGATGTACTATTTTTCACTGTGATGTTATTGGTTATAATATTAATTTAATTGAGAATGATGTCACTTTAAGATACGATATTATTGTATTAAATCAACATGAACTATGCTGAGCCTGACAAACATGTGATTTTGCTATTACTCTGGGTATTTTTCTATTTGCGTGATTTTATTTTAATTTATAATCAAGATGAGGGTCTAATCAATATATATATATATTGAGTGTATTTGCAATTAAGGTGGTCTTGTTTTGGGATTGATAAATCTTCACTTGTACTAGTCTTCATATTCTTACTTCGCATCGTGACTCCTTGTATTGTTCAAGTATAAATAATAAGCGGCGCGGATATAACAAGAACTTTTGTACACAGGGGGATATAAACAGTGTTATAAAAGACTAGTGTGGATCAATAACTTAAATATTGAATGTTTAGTTCTACAAAAGAAAACCTTATTTACGTCATAGACTATATTCTTTTTTCATCAATATAACATTAAACTAATGAATTGAATATACTTTTTCATTTAAAAATCTTGAAACTACGCTTTTCATAGCATCAAAATATGTGGATTGAAAAAACACTAATTAGAAATATACAAGCTAAACAACATGTACAATAATAATTTATACAATAAATTAGGAGAACAAAGAAAATACATAGTATCCAAGCGTATGTAATATAAATAATATATTAAGTATGAATCAGTCAGCTACAATGTAGGAGCAGGCACATATATGCATCGGTCCAAGTTGCCTCACTCCATTAGCACAACAAGATGATTACCAAATTCATAGAAGTATCTCTTTGAGAATAAAATATTATAATTTACCTGAACAAACAAGTAGTGAAGGTAATAAAACGTCCAATGTCTTGTTTATCTGGATCAAATATAAAGATGGTTGGTGAGTAGATAAAGAAATTTGTTCTTGAATGATGATAGACAACTATAAAATTAGCTTGCGAGGCAAAAGAAAGGATGATCATCATATACACAGCATTACATACATAGTAGAAAAATATCTGTATAAGTCAACTGTAAAAGACAAAACTTCAAAGGTATAGTAGAAATGTAACTTTAATTCGCTTTTTAACGTTGAAGAGAATGTTGCAGAGTTTAAAAAAATTATGCAAACAGAAGAAATTGAGTTGACAGAAATGTGTGAATCATATATTTTCAATAGTATATATTAAAAACACATACAGGAATTATAGGAATCAACACAGACACCTTTTTTATTGGAAAAGAGATCAGCTATAAATGATTCTACTTTATTTTCTTTACAAAACAGAACGGAAACATTTTCATAATAAATGATACACAAGAATTCAATTCAGCAAGTATGTATACACAATAATTATGTGATGACCTTTTCTGTTGTTGTATCATCATTATCACCGAATTCGTCACAAGCCTTAAATTTTTCACTTGGTACAGCAAAACTATACTTTTTCGTTAAATGATCATGAAGTACAATAGGTGGTGGTGCACAAATCTTTTGACGTATCACTTGTGACACTGTCACAATACTGCCCATTGCTAGTATGAAATAAATGATTGATACAGCAGGTACCTTTAATAGAAAATACATTATAATCATTATACAGCAATTTATCAAAATAATCATCGTTGGTCGAAAAGGAAATGTGTATGTAATTCACTAATTATATTTACAGCTAAACAAAAAATAATAAAATTTATTTTTAGTATGGGGTTGTTGATCCCAACTAAGTGGTCTAGAGATTAAGCGTTCACGTACGAGACCGGAGATTATGAGTTCAATTCGTGCGTGCAGAGTCGTTGATGCACACTGCTGAGGAGTTCCATGCTAGGACAAACGGCCGCTTAGATTTTTAATGATGATTTAACATAAATCGGCTTATGATTTTAATGAAATAATACTTTTGTAATGAAACTTACATCAAAGAGAGATTATTAGCACAGTATGATAAATGTGAATAGTAATAAAACATGAAAATGTTGTTATCAAATATATATTTATAACCTATAGAAAACAAGACGGAAGTGATTACAGTCAATAAAAAACCAATATCCATAAATCTCAACTTCGAAGGTGATGACGCCACAAGCACAATCAACAGGGGGATTAACACTGGACTAGCCAGAACTTAGCCGACAACCAAACCATTAATTCTGTATAAAACAGCATGTTCAATAACCTAATAAAAGGTTGACAAGCACCCCTTTTACGTTAATGCCAACTGTATTTATAAATTTACGTATACCTACCAAAGCAGCTACATTGGCCGAACAGAAAGGAGGGTATATTTTAGTTTTTCGAGCATGTTCCAAAAAGCCTTGCAACAAGAGAAAAAACGACTCTAAACAGTGCAATTACCAAACATATCTTGAATGCAGGACATCAGGTCGATACCTTGTAATTTCTCAAGGTGATTAATAAGCAGCCAAACTCCACTCTGAAGTTTGCTGAAGCTGTTGCTGTCAGGCGTCAAAAACCTGATTTACGTATTCAAAATGAGATGGTTATTAATCTTTCTTTGGATTGGCGACAAATATACCTTCGTTGCATCTTAAACTATTCTAAATTTCTTGCATTTATTTAAACTATCTTCCAGTTCAGTAATCTTATTTGACCAATTAAGCTTTACTCATTTTATTCCTATCGGCCTTTACTTAATACGTAATCACTTGTTTCTGGCCGTTTGAACTGTTGTCACAATCAGTGTTGTATAATTTTCTTTTAAATGAGGTATATGCTTACAATATTCAATCTGTTAAATTTATTTACACCCTTGCTATGCTAATATGTTTTCAACATAACTTCCGACTAAACTCTCTCATGTAATTGATTTAAACCCATTTTGTAATTGTGATTTTAAATATTAGAGGTTGTAAGCGGCTGACGAAAACCAACAAAATAAAGTGGATTCATGCTATTCCGCTAGGATTATTGTTGTTTATTATTATTAAGTCCCAAGATCGACATCGTACGGAAAAAAAACATCAGACGATATATGTTAAATCCTTATGATCCGTTCGAAAATGAACCAGTGATTCATCCGAAAAAACCATCTGGGTGTAAATGGAAGATGTTGTGGAACTAAGTGGCTGAGGTGAAATCTATGAACATCACTATTTAAATACAAGATTAATTAGCATAACATAATAAAATACAACTGTAAAAAATCACTTAAGATGAAAAAGGTATTTTAAAAAACAAAATAACTGCTCAATTTGCGAAATGAGTTGAGTCGATTCATTTGTACTCTTTTAGGTTACAGATTGAATTTTTTTGATAACTGACGGTAATGTAGGTAAAATACGATTCACAACAAAACTCATCACTAAAGACATTGTTTGTCGTTAGGTATTAAAATGATCCTCTAGTTATTTGGTATGCACAAGTAAATAAAAGTTGGAAAGTAGAGTAGTGAGTCAAACAAATCTACTTAAGCATTGCTGAATTTTTTTATAACTAGTAAGTAGAAAATATTGAATTCAGGTGTAGAGTCTTAAGTGAATGAAGAGAGTGGGTTGCTGATGTGAATATCAACCAGCTGAAGTGCTTAGAATGTCAATCATTTCTAATAAGAAATTGACTATTTTACTTTGGTTTTCAAAATTAGCTGTAGAGAAAGAGCTTTAAGCGGTCAGCTAAATAGACTGAGATGATCCATGAAGAAGATGGCTGTTCGAACCACTGATGTTGACATTGTCTACCAAGTGAAAAATCGGATTAGAAGCTATTAGAGAAACCAAGAAAATCTCCATATATATCCGCTAACAGTAGGCTGGTACAAACTATTTCTATCGTACTAAAGTTTATTCAACATTCTAATCGAATTACTGAAGCTTTCGGAAAACCTGGTAGGTCGCTAACCATTATAGTATTTTTCAGAAGTCTACTTACTGAAACGTTGGACAGTTACGAAGGCAAAGATGTTTGGTGAAAAAAGCTTGCTATGCCACTTCCTACATAAAAATCTGACCATGATGAATAAAGACAGAAAAATTCAACAAAAGACACTAACGACCACATAGGTTTTGTCGATTATTTGAATAAAACATAGTTTTGAAAAGGAATGTTATGAAACAAATAGAACACCTACAATTGAATGTATAGTGCGAATCTAGTTAAGCCACAATCTGTAATTGATTGAAGCTGCTTTCTCTTATTCGTGGATCTTAAGAAGCATAAATACATTCAATTAATAACAAGTATGAAACTTTAACAAATATTAATGTTAACTTAGTAATACTTAGTTTTATTTTGTTCTTTTTAACCCCCAATAAAATGGATTCGGTTAGTAAATGCTGATAAAATGTAATCACATACGTCACTTGTCCTGTATGTATTTACAAGATATCAGTTTTATGTTAAGTAATTTCGCAAACATTTAAATAATATCTGACCTGCCATTCGCGACAATAGCTCTGTTGGGATATGACGTAAAGACTATAAGCCATGTATAGTTCAAAACCGTATACTACAAATAGGAAAGGTAGGATGAACGTAATTCGACGAAACATCCATGACATGAAACCATCTGTGAAAAGAAATTACCCAGTGGAATGAATTAGCATATTACATAAGAAGTAAATCAAATATGACTTAATAATTTTAACCACAATTGATTTCGGTTGCCCCACTCTGAAATACCTTAGAATATGAAAATTAAAAATACGAAATACAACATATAAAAAAGGGACAGAAAATAACGTTAACAATAAACAGTTTATCAATGAAAACTCAAAATCATATCAATGCCTTGAACCTGAGTGTATTAATAAATGGCATAAAACCTCATTGATGTCTTTCAACACCAGCTGTTGTATCCCGATAGGAATAATGAATGGTAATTTTTGGGATCCATTTATGGACCAATATTATGAGTATGTTTTTATCGTATAATTGTTATGTAACTAAACTGCTCATATTCATGCCCCTCTTATTATGAGCTCTATTTTGACCTATGAACTATTATTATACGATTTACCATTCATGAACTATTCCCTGTCTGTTAATCGTTACCTCCCTCATTGACAGCCACATCCGGCTAATTCCTGTTCAAATGTTGTTCATATTTTATTGGTACGTTGTGGTCGCTTTGTTTGGTATATAAACTCAGTATGCTTGAAATACAATGATTCATATCTCAGAGGCTGAGACTTGCGTTCTGGACTCAACTGGCTGGGCTAGACAGGGAAGCAGGACCAATCAGGTCTCTAGGCTGTTATCACGTGTTTACGCGTCTTTGGTCCGATCGATAATTGGCTGCGCTCTAATCTGCTGTCACAAGCTATAACACCATCTGAAAGTGGTTCAAAGTAAAATTACCTGATAAAATTAATTCTACGTCAAAACGTACAATCATTAAGTAAAAATTACAAAACTTTGATTACAGATATTGAACAGTACTGTCTCAGAAAATTTCTCCTCAGGTGAGTAGGCCAGTATCGAATGATCGAGATGGGAAACTTTATGTTAACAAATCTCAACCGATTTAACCCGATGAAAGCACATCGTAAATCTTATCAATTCACTGATTTAATCCATAAGGAACAAAACTTACAATCACACTAAATAACCAGACACTGTATTACATGACTGATTTAAGTATGATAATGTATCATAGAACATAGTTCACACAATCAACATTGAACACAGACCACAAACTCAGTCAAATAGATAATCTCAATATACAACCACGTCCCACTGTACACGCATATATATAACAAGATAATATAAATACTTTCACAGAAGTCAATAAAATACTTTAAAATAAATAATAAAGTCCATTAATTTACCAACAGTTATATCCATTGGATGTCGACAACCCAAAGTACGAAGTTTATACAGGCAACTTATTTGATATTGAAATTGTATAAAATGAACAAGATCTGTAAAAGAAAAAAAAACATTATCAGCAAAAATTATTTCAGGAGATACAGAAATCTGGGAGACAATCACCACGAAAAATGTACAGTTCTTTCCAGTTGCTCAACATTTCTCAATAGAACATATAATGTTAGAGAAGTAAGCAAAAGAAAGATATTAAAAAGCAACAGGGAAGAAAGGGGATAAATAAACGAATACGTGCTAAGGAACTGTTCGAAATTGAAAAAAAAATTAAACAGTAATATGCAGTGTGATTCCACGAACCGATTTTCGATTGTTAGAATAATAAAAAAGTCGACTCATACATAATATCCAATGAATGACACAATATGGCCAAGTGATAGTTGTTCATGAGACCGAATTATTAGCGTAATGCCTCGAACGATTTGAGATTACAAACAAAACCAGTCAGAAGAATAGGAATTTTTTAACAAAATAATATGGTTCATTATAAATTATTAGCCGAAAAATAAATATAGTTAAATGTCCTAAACGATTAGAGGAAATCAGTTTTGCAGGTTACTCACTCTCCAATGAACCAAGACTTGTCAATTAAGCCCAATTCTTGCCCATTATATGAAACAGATAAACAAATAGTCCAACGCCCATATTATTCAAAAGAATGTTAATTACATCTACGATATATTGTCCAATCTATTTTGGTTATATTACAGATGATTAATGTACAGATATCTTAACTAAACACGGACTTATGACCGAAAAAAATTGTGATCACTATACAAACAAAATCTCTTATGACGATGGTTTCTAATTTTGAATATATACATAATAAAATGAAACCGCTTCTTAAAATATTAACAATTTCCTACTTATTTCTAATAACTATCGAGTCCATATCACGTTTTATACATGACTGACCCAATACAAACAAAAAAATATCATTTAAAGTGAACCTATTTGTTTTTTTGTTCATCTGAAAATAGAAACTTTCAGTATTATTATCGATGATTTAATGGTTTAAAAAAATTTGGGCATTGGGAGAGTGGTATTATCATTAGAAATTTGTATTATCTAATTGATGAAAAAAACAAAGCAGAATTGTGTTCTTAACAACTTTTTGCTAATTAGTATAATGAATAGTACTCTGATAAAGTTATTAGCATTAAATAACGAAACATATGAGTAAAAACAATTCTTTTTTGTCTTTCCGCTGACTACAAAATATAAATTTTTAAGAATTATCAATGATTAACTAATTTCCAAAACAGAAATGCGAATAAGAACACCACGAACTTAATGAAAACGAAGCTGTGTGAACAACATTATCTCCTTCGGTACAACTTACTGATTAACAATCTAAGTCAGTATCCCAATCTATAAGGTACACTGACCGGACAGCAATAAGGAACACAAAACTGTTTTAATTAAAGTTGGTAGATTGTAGTCTGAACGGCAGTGGAGAAAATAAATACATCAAAAATACAATTGTAACTTGAGTATACCTTTTCCATGAGGTTAGAACATGTCTGGTTTCATTTCAATCGGATCAGTAAGATGAAAATATATGTAAAATGATAAAGATTATATTCGCTAATACTAACGCAATGTAGTACATCAAAATAGGATCACAACTTTAAAAATACTTTAGCGAATCAGATACTAACATGGACGTGATCGCTATATATAGAAAACACACACATCAACCATTTAAACTATCTACATGATATCACGAGTGAATGGCCAAAAAATGTAATAGTCCTTCCTATGCTTAGTTGGTCATATGGTCTAGAAAATTTCAATAAAGGCGTTATTTACAAAGACTTCTTGCTGAAGAACGACGATAATGACAAAAACAGAAATACTCACTCAACAGTCAGTCGTTATCAACATAGAGTCTAACACAGATGTGCGTTTGGTCAAGAGATTGAGAATAGGGTTCAAAAAGACGAAATGGGAAAGCATATATGAAGGAATAATTGAATATAAGATTTAGAGGATGATAAAAAGAGTGGATCAGTCCGCGCGAATGTAAATGATTCTGAGCCGCGTGACTTACAGTCACCGATCACTGATTGTGATTGTCTTGCAGGCGCCGATCAAGTAGTCTGCACCAACTGACACGGCTTAGACAAACGGTCAATGACTTCACGGAGTGACGACACTTTTTGGTTTGACTGACATTAGCTTTCGTTCAACTTACTCTTACTCCTACACTAACAACCATCGATAGTCGATGTAGGCAGCGTTTAGACACACGTAACATATATTCTGACCGTCACAGTAGCTGAAGGTTTACAACCTCATAAATTGATTTTCCACTTTTTTCAAGTGCCCTACACCTAACACCTCAGCATTCCTCACTCAGTCGTTCCACACAACGCTATCAATGTTTTGAAGACACCTATGATCAAAAACCTGCATCAGGAAATAAATCTTCTACTCTTAGAAACCATTACGGAGGCAATAACATGATATAGTCCGGACTGCTGAACATTATACACGCCTATTGGCTACCAGATGGATATCTCGCCAACACCGAATATTCTACTTTCGGTAGATTCTGGAACATAGACATACTTTTCGACGTCAGACCATAATTATATTCTTTGGCCTTGAGGCAGCGTTACACTCTGTTGGTCGTGAGGTTCTGTGGCAGTGTTTGTCATTAAAAGGCATACCAGAGAAGTACATCAGCCTTGTGTAGGCTATCTACTCGAACACTACTGGTTGAGTCAGAGCTTATAATGAACGGTCATCGGAATTGGTTACTTTAAGTGGTATACGTCAAGGTTTTCCGTCTTACTCATTTTTATTTAACTCTGTTATAGACAATATTTTCATCATCCGATTTTCCTGAAGTTGATCTTATGCTAGTAAATTCACTTGTAGACTTAAAGTACACAAATAATATAGTTTTGTTTGGTTAAAACACTAACGAAATGAAGTCCCATGACCACATTAAGATATGATTTTCGCACCCCAAAAGCGAAATTTTGCTCCGGGACTGGCTTGCATCAGCGCCTGAATTAATAACAGGAAGCAAAGTATTCGAGCGTATCGACCGCCTCACTGATCTTGAGTCTCATCAGTACTTATGGCCTGGTGTCTGAAAAAATCTCGGTATAGATACCAAAAGCACGATTGGCTCTTTCCAATTTGCATCACCTGTGGCGTAGACGAAATATCCATCTCCCGACTAAAGGACGAATTCAATGTACAACAGTTTGCTCTGTTCTACTTTGTGAGTGAGAAATATCACGAATCGATAACATTCATAGATTACTAGTACTCAACCATAGGTGTCCTCAAAGCATTGTCCATGTACTTTTGGACCACCGAGTAACCAACGTCTGGGTCAGGAATAGGATACTAGGTAAAGATGGGGAGTCAACTGAAGTTGTAAATATTTATCAACTGAGGTCGTCAGGACAGATGTTACGTGTACCCAACTGCCAACTATCTCGACGAATGATTCTGTCTGGTTTACGAGCAAGCTGGAAGCTAGGGGTGGTCAAACTAAAACGTGGCATCAGTTCATAGTCATTAACAACTAGACTGACTCGTATTAATAGGTCTAGACTACTCTTTTGGGGTCCGAGTGATTATCTTAACCAGTGGTTAGAGACTTTGAATGAAATGGCTCAAAACTGTTTGCAATGGTACAGGCATATTTATTTCTTGTCTCCCCTCATATCGTAAGCTTTTGAATTCCTCGTGATCTTTTTGTCGCACTAATTTATACTGTATTCTCTAATAGTATTTTCGACGTTTAATCTTTTTAACCACTACTCATATTGTTAGTACCTCTAGTATTCTGGGATTTGGTCTAACGACATCTTGCTCTGCTAATGGGGTGTGGAAACTTAGACTGACGTACATACGCACCAGATTCTACATTGCGACCGACTGACCAACACAAATAAAACTGACAAAGGTTAGCCTTGAAACAACACCGTATTTGTTGAGTGAAAAATACACCCTAAACACTTATATACTGTTACTTGTTCACAAAACCGTACTTTCCAACCATTTCACTTAACAGGACTATATTCTCTGAGTATTCTGGATCCGTCTGAAAATAGCCTAGAAAGACAAGCGAGCAAAGAATTATATCCAGGTGAATATCACCAGATAAAATCTCAAATTATTGAAATTATTACTTACTTAGGTATAAGCAAAAAAGCATGAACTGATCACGAAATTCATCATACGAACGAGATCTAGGCCTAGAATGTAATTAAAAGGACATGAAGATACGAGGAAATAACTTAATTATAGACTGCAATTAGCCACACATTAACAACCAGTGAATCTGATAAATAACCAAATGATCTAAATGTAAGGTATCTATCCCCTCCTGGATTAAAGATTAGATATTTGCTTGGAATATAATACAATTATCAGCGTTAACTAAAAATATATCTTTTAATTAACCATTATCTTTTCTACCTTGAATAACATTTAGTCCAACAGTTTACTAATCGACTTCTAATACCCAAGTATTAAACGTCTAGCTACTAAGTTAAGCACTCCTATTTATTAACATCAGACATGATCAAATAAACAGAATAATCAATATAATTACACCAAACTAAGATGACATAGAGCTTGATTGCATACAAAACATAGCCTTCCAAAGTAGGTGGGAGAGAAATATTTTTATAAAGCGATCAATCGATAGTTTACAACTAACTCAAATACCACTCACCAGATAAGCATAATACCAGAATAGGCTGTTGACATAAAATGAGATATATTCCACCACCCTTTAATGCGTGACCCATTGGCAATAAGAATGCGTTCGCGAATAGTTAGTGTACAATAGTACCATACCAATAGAAAATGAAAAATAGTATCCACAAATCTAAAAACAAACAAGAAATTGACAGCAAGATAATTGATTGCACATATGATTAACTCATTTACCAAATACTCTGGTACACACGTCCACTAAGTTTTAACGTTGGCTATGAAGAATTGTCAACGAACTGAGTATAGGATCATACATTATTCAGAAACATAAACCCCTGTACAGTAGAGAGATATTGCATTATGTCAAATTTAAAGGATGAACAGAAGTGAAAAATACCAAACTATACAGAAAACCGTATTATGATATAGGAATTATAGATAACTTTAAATGCTCTCCGAGACATACTAGGAAAACTCATAGCACAAGTGATTAGGAATGCATAAATTACGCTAAAAAGTTAGCTTCTCTTTCTTTTTTGACGTTCAACATTTTAAGCAGATTCTCCTATCAATGAAGATTTAAATCTAGGTTCAATGTAGATTTAAAATCCATTATACCTTATTGTGTTTTGAAGCCTCATATTGTTTATAGTCCTCATGTAGTGTGGTTGAAAGTCAGGCACATTAGTGGATACATGGTAGCTGGTTTTAAGGCTACCTGAACATCAACACTTAGACAGGTGAAAAGCGAACACGGTCTCCAAGACAGTAGAAAGTTTCCAGTCTTCTAAAATCATCTACTCACGATATCCAGGTCACATACCTGCACAATAACACGATAGGGAACGCTGTACAGCATTTATCAGAATGTTGCTAGGTTTTATGAGAAGTAAAATTAAAAAGTGAAGGTCGATATCATTGTCCAAAACTACTGGTTGTCATCAGCCTAAATGACTTGCCATGATCCAGTCACGACGACGCAGGTTCAAAAATATTTTACTACATAGTTATCTTTAAGTCCTACTTATATCAGCGGCTCCAAAATCTTTGTATCAGCAGAGTTTAATGACCTATTAAGGTCATAGTGGAGGATACAACCAAGTAGTACTTGTGAGTTCTAACTAAAAGAATTAGCACTTACTGCCATCAGAACCTGTTGAAACCCTTTTTCTTAAAATTCGACTGGTCCTTATAAGCTAATAAGCGTCTCGGAAGTAATTGCTGAACCAGGATCTAGGCACCGGGACGAACAAAGACTTTAATTAGCGACCTTCGTGATAGGTAGTCAGATTTCGGCACTCAATGTTGTAGAGATTTATGTAGAAAAGTTTTAGGATTTGAACCTATTGAACAGCTTGAACATAAACGCTTCTGACCTTGGAAATGTTCTGTAAAGTAAGCGTAGAAGCAATAACTATGTCCGATGATTTTTTGCCATTACTTGAACAACTATTGCATGTAATCCGATCATAACTTTAGAGCTAACAAGATATTGCCATCCACTCAGTGACAGAACCGAACATTACAAAGTAGATTAAACTTAATTTTATGAGAAGGACCTAATGAACCATGCTTCCTCAATTACAAATTCCTTGTAGCGTAGATATTTAAGGTGATGTTATGAAGTCAGTTCTTAAGGTTGGGTATCTATTATTGATGCATCCTAATGTGACCTAGTCTATTCAGTCAGTGATTTTACATAAGAATCCCATAGACGCTGTCATTCGAATAATTGATGCCTAACGAAAGAGGATCTTGATACACCATATAAGCATCTGAAAATGTCCGCTGAAGAATTAACGGGATGATATTTTCCTATGAATAACTGAGAGATTATTTTAACAAAAATATTTCAAACCACGCCTTTTGAACATCAACTGACGGTTTTCGCAATTAGGGAGTGGCGATGTGCTTAACACTTCTTCAGGCCGCAAAGTGGTCACACAGTATTATTATCAAAGTGTAAGACTTGAAGTAGCGTACAGCCGGAATTACCTTTGTCCAAACATTTGATGAGAAAAAGTCATGATTATTTGACAATAATGAAATACATATACTATCTTTAATAACATAACGACGAACTCACCTATTCTTAACGAAAAAGTATAGCAGAAACGCCAAAAATGCACATATTCCCGAAATAATGATTTTAAACCGTTCGTAATCATTCTTGTATCTGAATCTGAGCACATTACTAAAACCTAGTTATTACTTGTCCTCCTTGTTAGCAAACGATATATTAAGAGCTCCAAGTACGATACGCAAATACAAACTATATAAATAAATCTGCACAAAGAGTCTACATACCCTGGTGTGCGAGGTAAAACATCTTCAATATCCCGTAAAACATACTCTTTCTTAAGAATATCGATTTTGGCTTTTTCAAGTATGGTAATCTCATCACCCGTAGCATTCTTTTGAAGACTGCCAATTTTAGATAAAGACAGATTACCTTGCAATTTCATGCTTCAAAAGTTTCATATAGTTTCGACAATGTTTAACACTACGGACGCAACTTGTCTCTTCCTCCTTGAGTTTGTACAGTGACATAACCAGTGATGAGTGCTTTTCCTAAAAAAATAACCAGAATGTGGTTTTTAACGCAGTTGTAAATATACTTGCAACTGTAACCAGTCCTTTTGGAAGCTATTTAATGCACTCTGAAATTCTTCCATCAGTCTATCACTTGTGTAGACGAGAACAGACCTGTTGGCTTCAAGAAACACAGCCTGTGGTTCCAAATTGCCCTCCCTGAAATCAAGGAGAAATATCCGTCCCAACTCGTGATTGGCTGATTGAGGTACGTTTAAGTGTGCATTGAAGGTTTCAAATAATTCTGGAGGAAATAGAAGAAGCTCTCACTTAATAGGCCTCTATATCTAGTAGTAGTGTGCAACCGATGCTGCCAGGCAGGAGCCTAGATATATTTAACAATAAAACAAAAAAAATTATAGCGAGATACTGTCATTAGTCCTTAAGAATATGTCAGGTTTGCTCTTGAAGGATTACTGCGAAGTTTCTTGGACTGGTTCAGTCGGTATGGGAATCTAGAATTTTACCACTATTAAGGACTAGGTGTGTCTGCAGTCCTTTATGCTATGTTATTCTTCGTTAATGGGTGTAACCCCTAATGTTTGTGTTGGGACTGTGCATAAGTAGGTATTCGAAAGTGCCCAGGAATGTTTAAGGTGCTATAAGTCGTCAGAATGTCACCTCTAACAGGTAAAGGCTCAGTGATTTGAGGTGCTCTTCAAAAAGCTTGAATTTGGGTCCCCTACTTGATTTCATAGCTCGTCATTGGATATATTCCAATGTATCCTCAACCTTTTGAAGTGAGAAGAACGGGAACGAATGTAACTGTTGAAGTTTACGCGGAAATTTCTGCTTCTCAAAGATACCAGTGCAAGATTTGCTCGGAGGCCTTTCTTTGTCGCAATTAGCGTGCGAATTCAGATCATAGGATACCAACACTCGTTGATCATTTTCAAACTGGGTACCTCTAGAGGGGAGTTGCCTAAGTTGTATTCGTGGTCTGCAACATGTCTCGGATGAACTGGTTTACACTTTTGATTGTTGTTGTTCGCCCAACTTTGAAGTCAAGTTCGATCATCCTGAAGTGCCAGCTTATCATCTTGGTGCCAAACTTCTCTCTAGAGTTCCACATTACCAGTGAAAAACAATCATTTAAACAATACCTGCTGACGAAAATCGTTTTCATAAACTGGAAAGAAAAGATGTCCTGGTGATGAATGTTGAGGGACCCCACTAGGAAATTCTATAGCCCGAGAAAATTAAAGTTAATGCCGACCTTAAGAAGTTAATCATTTAGATATGAAGTAGGACAATCAATTAACGGTGACTTGATACCCGATCGGTTGACCTTATCGACAATACACAAATGACTGACACTCCCAAAAGCTTCTGAGGAGTCAAGGTGTGTGACACGAACCTCCCCATTGGGATCAATGACAGTTGCCCATCCCTCTACCGCGGTCAGCAGGTCGGTTATTAAAGAACAACCCTTCTCGAAATCGTGCTATCGCAATGAAAATAAGTTTATGGATGACAAGTAGTCACGTAGACTGTCGTATACAAGGGCTACATAATTTCCCAGGGCACTGAAAGAAGTGCTGCCGGTCGGTAGCTTGAAGGTCCTCTAAGTCGATCCCCTTTGAAAACCGCGATGATATGAGCCAGCTCCCAAATTTCCGATACCGTGGCTTGGTGCCTTGAAAACAGTTAACATAAACTTATTTTTTGACTAGTTTTTGTTGTTATTAACATAATTTTTCTTAAATTCGCTTAATTTGTACACGTATTACCATTGACTGTAAAATCGTTTAAAAATTCGACCCTGATCTTTTGTTCCTCGTTTGAATTCTCACGCCAGTTGCGCTGATATTCTCATTACGTGATTACTCTTGATTCACATCTTGGACCATACCAATCATATTTGAAATCAATGACAACTTATGACTGTGGATAACGAGACCGAAAATTGAACTCCAACAAGCTTCCTTCCGACAATTTAATTAACGTCCAGTATCTTTCTTTGTTTGTAATTTATATTTCGATATATTACCAGGTGAACCATTTTTCGTAAAAACTTTATCATTACTTTGAAACTGATATATTCCCTTCACCACAATTATTCGATGAGCCGTAACGTTAATTTTGTTTGTCATAATGGTTGTTGTACAAGCACTGTATAATTTATGTTTCTAATAATCTTAATAAAATTTAGCGTTCTCTTGCAAAAGTGTCCTCTGAACTACTCAACATATTTGAACCCACAATAACTATGTTTAATGCAATTTGGCAGTTCACACTATCAAAATACCGGGTAAATAACCTAAATATTTGGTTTTTGCAGTTGGAAGCTTTGTTTTGGCATGGGATATCCGGTCACAAGCAACTAAATTATGTGCGCGTAGTAGGTGAACTTCCGACTAAAATCGCTACAGAATTCGAGGACATAACCTATAATGTTCCGGCACAGGACCCGTATGATGAACACAAAGGAGCAGTCATCCAACATAAATCAGCTTCTGACTAATAGAAGACTACAAACGTCCATTAACAACATGTGATGAAGCAGTCAGTCAGCTCATATAAATTAGATGAATGGTTATTTAGACAAACGTGGCTATAATGCTTTCTCCATAACGTGAGGCATTCTTCGTGCGTCAGGAGAACGAATTATTCTGGAGGATCTGGCAGATATGGCAGATTAGATGATAGAAGTCAACCCAGAGTACATAGTGTAAATACAGTAGGAGCTACTGAGAGAGCGCGTGACAATGACATGATGGCACTTCAACAGCAGTTATTTAATATGCCTAAAAACCTCGCAGTACTACAAACAACTATATCTACAGTACGCGTGAGATAAACTAGATAGTGTTTCAGAAAAATCCATTTTCGAGGCAGTATTCTAAATCGCCTATACCATCCCCGGAAATCTGACCGTATTGCGAGCATTGCGGAACTAAGGCTCGGCAGTGGGCAAGATCGTACTAATTCATCTGCGAAAACCGTGGGAACCAAGGAAATGAGCCGACCAAACAGCAATGACAGCAAATGTTTCTGGACATCTAACAAGCCGTTTCCTGCATATAGGGGATAATATTTCTGCTTCAGCCGTTTAAGATGACGCAGAAGCAGAGATCAGCATGATTCCACTGACATTATCACCATGGCGACACAATTCATTTAGCAACGCATTACCACAGGTGGCCAAGGAAGCCGTTATCCAAATGTATGGAGAACAGTTACTAGTCTTAAACTTTGGGTTTATTAGAAACTCGTAGTATCTAATGCTAAAACGTTTTTCTATGTAGTAAACACTCTTTGCACTGATCATAAAGTTTCATGACCTTGGTTGCTGCTGGACATCTTGCGTCGTTGTTCAAGCCGTAGATTATAAAACCCTACAGGCAACTGCGTACTTATGCTTTGGGCAAGTTGACACTGTGTAATGTTTGGGTCTTTTTACTCTCATGATCAACCTTCAGCAAAGCACTATTGAAGACAATTTTTTTCAATGAGAAGTCTGAACGTTTCGGTCAAGATATCAGGACCTTTCCGCAGCTGTGTAACGAGCGCTAAACTTCGTGTCCGCCACTGAATTTCGATTCTGATTCCATATAACAATATTGGTCATGAAGGAAAATGATATATGCAACTAATTTATAAAAGAAACAATGTTAGTCCGATGAATATACTGTAAGCATCTTTGTTCGATGCTCTTTTCTGGTCACACTACCTAGTGTCAATACATCTGTCTACGTTCAGCAAAGAGATATTCTGAAACCAGAAATATCATGTCAGTGATTTAGAAAATCAATTGCTGGAGTTGCGTAAATACAATGTGTGATATGCGGTGAACGAAGAATAATAAAGTCATTTATATTGAGGTACTACGTCCATGAATTAAGGTTCACTACATTCGTGTTAATGATCAAACTCCTACAACTACGCTACACTGGACTTGTTCAAAGACGGCATGTTTTACATGTGATTAGTAAAGTTACACGTTGAGCGTATTTATAGAATTTCGGATGCCATATTTTGTTCAGTTAATCATACAAAACCTTTATCTTGAACAGAATGATCCACCAACCATGACATTTGAAAATACTTACGTATAATTGGTCTAGTAGTGACTTGAATTATTGGATAAAGTATATTGAAACCAGGTAAAATGCTTTTCTTCTAGATGACTTCAGAACATATGAGTTTAGATTGTTGTTGTCAGGGCTGTTATATAACTACTGCAGATAAAATTACGATACTCAGACAAGTTTAGTGGATGTCACAAAAATGCAGTGCATTATGCGTTTGTTAATTTGCAGTTACTGTAATGGAAAGAACACGCAGAATTTCATTGAACAATATTGTCACTAATTTGTTTCTTATCCCTGTATTGTATTTCAACCTTCATTCAGGTCCGTCGTAACCACGCTTTATGTTCTTCAATCTTCCGCGTCTGAGCTTTTTATATGGTTTTAATTAAAGACTTACTTTTTATTACTTTTTTTACATTGGCATATTGCCGAACTATTAACAATAAGGCCCTACGTGACTAAACTCAAGGTCATGGTTTGGTTGAGTTCTCCTCTCAGGTAGCTTAAAATGTTACACACGAAGTCCGAAGGTTAGGCCGTTTTCAACCGTGTTGTTGAAAGATTCAGTAGACATCCAGCTTCAAGATCAACATGATGCAACTGCCTAATCTATATGATCTTTCGTGCAAGTCACACTATATTCCACTCTGGCTCGTCATATCGTAACAATCACCAGCATGTGATGAGGAACACATTTAGGTTGAAGGTAGAACATTAAATCCAACATGAAGAAAAGTGATGTTAAATAAGTATATTACGCCTGCAAGGCCAAGCAATTCTATCTGATGAATTTTATTTCCGTGTGAATGTTACTGCGTCCACCATCATTGACCTTCTTTTAGTAAAACTCTCTGCCAGGACTTGCTATCAAGCAGTCATCAACATACGTATGTACGAAGTTGAAACCTGGAAAAACGTCATCTACGAACCTTCAGAATGTTTGGGCAGCATTAATTAAGCCGAAAAAAATGTGCAAAAATTTGTAAAGATCGAAAGGAGTTATGACAGTGGTTTTTGGATTGTCATCAGTGGCCATGGGAATTTGGTTA